TGTTCCTGAGAAGGCTCTGGCACCGGGAGCTGAAGCAGTTCAAACGAGCCTCTGCGGCTCACTGAGCCAACCACGCTCCTTTCAGGATCGGTCAATCAATACCAAGTTCAACTTGGAGGATTGAACGGCCCTAAACACATAAATTTGTAAAGGGGCTCTTCTTCCCCCCCCCCCCCAGTTTTCCTCCTTCTCTTCTACTCCTCCCCCAAGACATGGCTATGGGTCAAATCTCATGGAATTTCGATCCCGGATGAGCACAGGATTAATAGCGTCTCCCGAAAAGGGAGTGATCAACGCTAAAAGCCTAATCCTTCTATAATTTTGGTACCGACTAGACTTTAAGAGCGCTGAGGGATTAGTCAACGCTCACATCGAAGATCATTTTCAAGATTATTTCAGTAGCGTAGTCTCAAATTCGGAGAAAAATTCTGGACCAGCTTGCGATCAGACCAACGAAGCCCTCTACCTCCGGGCGGAAAACTGGTACTAGCTCGAGAGGATAAAACACTCATTTGTACGGCTCGGCTGCTCCCGCAAGTCATTTAATAGGCCATATAGCTTTTATTGAGCTACCCTCAAGATGGATGGAAGAAGAATAGATGCCGCTCCCGAAAAAGGAATTGATCAGCGGCGAAAGCTTCATCCTTCAGCTCTTATTACCGTAAGCTGACCAAATAAGATTGTCTAGTCTACTATCCGGTTTTCTATGTGCTCAAATACTCGTGTCATGAAGGTGACTTAGAAACCAAAAACTGCAGGAGAATTAGTTAACGGGCCTTTCCGGAGTCACAAGTAGGCCACGTCGCGCCTTGGGGATCCCTAGCAAGGGGCTCGTATCTGGTGGCTGGGAGGGGTCGCACTTGATCGCTGCAAGGAGGAGATTCGTAACTGTCTCTTCGAAAGGGATCTTTTATGGTTGAGTTTTCCTTTTTTTGTATTTCCGGTTCCAAGAGTTCTATGTGGTTTCCACCACCGGTCAACGGCCAGGGTAAGTCTTGTTAGGGATTCCTCAACAGGGAGGGTCGTGTATGGTCGCAGAGGGAGTAGGAGGAGGCGTAGTATTTCCTTTCTGAAGAGGGTGATTTTCTGACTTTTTGGGATTTTTCCTGTTTCATGTGTACCATGTGTTCCCCCTCCGCCCGATAGCAAAATTTTTGGATAAAAGTAGGGAAGTTTCCGGGAAATTACGGGGAAAAACTGGTAGGAGTTGTGGAAATCAAAAAAATTGGTAGGTAACTTAACGGACTTAAATCCCCAACTAGTGATGTGCCCTGTCGACGACATTTTGTTCAGGGAGCGGAGTGACTTCCGGAAAATTCCCGGGAAAGTGACAGGAAGCTGGGACAATTTAAGAAGTTGATAGGTAGTATGGAGAGGGAGGGCGTCGCACCAGAAGAGTGAAAGTGGGGGGGAGGGGTAGCGCTTCCGCAGATTTTTTTCCAATGGCAAGACATGCTGTGGTCACAATCAACAGGAGTTC